ATAGAAAATAAGGGAATATAATAGAATAGAAAAGACAAGAATAAAAAAAGAACATAATAGAATAGAAAATAAAAGAAAAGAACAGAATAGACAGTAATTGTCTTCCAAAATTTGAATTTGAATAGAATAGGTTAGAATAGAAAAGAATAGAAGAAAAAAGAATAGAATAGAATAGAAAATAAAACAATCGAATAGAAGCTAATAGAATAGAATATAATAGAAAAAACAATAGACTATAATTAAATAGAAAGCTTGTAATGATCTTCCAAAATTTGAATTTCAAACAGAATAGAAAATAAAAGAATAATATAGAATAGAAGAGAAAAGAATAGAATAGTAAAAATAGAATAGAATAGAATAAAATAAAATAGAATATAACCATCTTCTGAAATTCGAACAGAATAAATTAAAATATAGAAAAAAAATAGAAAAAAAATAATAGAATAGAAAAGAATAAATATAATAGAAAAACAATAGAATAGAATAAAATAAAATAGAATAAAACAATTCTCTGAAAATTGAATAGAATAAATTTAAATTTAAATAGAATAAATACAAATTTGAATAGAATAGAAAAGAATAGATTGGAATAGAAAATAATAATATAGAAAATGAAGAATAGAAAGAATAGAAAAAAAGCAATGGAATAGAAAAGAATAAAATAGAAAGAATATAACCATCTTCTGAATTTCAAATTTTTAATAGAACAGAAAAGAACAGAATAGAAAAAAACAATAGAATAAAATAGAAAGAATATAACCATTTTCCAAAATTTGAATTTCGAACAGAATAAATTTGAATTCGAATTTGATTCAAATTTTCCGAATTCATTAAAATCTGAATCGAATTCTAGTTTGAATAAATTAAACGAATTCCGAAAACATATTAAACAAATTTAACTAAACAAAATTATTTAAATAGCGAATTGAAACAAATTTTTTCATTCTGCACGTCTAAAGCCAACCATACATGGGTTGATTCCGAAATAATTTTCTTTCAAAAATTTTTTGTAAGAATTTTCATTTGAATTTTGCTTCATTAGTGGGCTACAGCAATGGCCGATATTCGAGCGACCATCGAATTTGAGTGACCGAGCATGCTGGACATTTTTTTGAAAAACTAACAAATTTCTAATCAATGATGGGAGAATCTCACTAGAAATGTAATTGAAAAAGAAATGAGCATGAGCTGTGACCTGGAAAGAGCACCTAGGCATGCAGACTGCTTCTACAAACATTTGTGAAAGAATAAAGCCAGCCATACATGGGTCGAATTCCAAAAGAATTTTCTTTCAAAAATCTTTTCTAAGAATTTTCGTTCGAATTTCACACCATTATTGGGTCACAGAAATGGCCGATTTTCATGTGAGCATTGAATTTGAGTGATCGGGCATGTTGGAAATTTTTTGAAAAATTAATGAATTTTGAATCAGTGATGGGAGAATCGTGTGGGAAACATAAATGAAAAAGAAATGAGCGTGAGCTGTGACCTGGAAAGAAAATTCTTGGCCACGAAAATTCTTTTCTATAGCAACATGAAGTGAAATTGAAGACCTGGTTGGTTGAATTTCGAAATCAATGGTGGCGCCATCGGATTACAAAATGCATGAAAATTCCAATTTTCCAAAGAAAATTTGTTTGGAATGTGACCCATGTATGGCCTGCATAACTCACACATTTGCATGAGTCCTTGTGCTCACAAAATATTCTGTAATTACTATACCATAAACAGGCCATACAGACACACAAAAAATGCAGGACTAAATGTTTTTAAAAATTCTTCCATTGGAATGACTCTCCACCTGAGCCTACCTTATAGAAGAACATTAGGGGGCAACATAGCAATCAGGGGTACCACTTTTACAAATAACTCCCATGCTCCCCCTACCCCCGAGGGCTAGTATTGCATCCACTGGCACCAATCCTGGGGGTTAATATTGCATCCATGTTCAGTTCTAAAGCCTACATCTCTGATGGTATGGGGGTGCATTACTGGGTATGGAATGGGCAACTTGCACATTTGGAAAGTCAACATCAATGCTGAAAGATATATCCAGGTTTTGAGGCAAAATATGATCCCATCCAAATGACTTCTTTATCAGGGAAGGCCTTGCATATTTCAGCAGGACAAATCTAAACCTCATACTAAAACTATGACAACAGCATGGCTTCGTAGTAGAAGAGTCTGGGTGCTTAGCTGGCCTGCCTGCAGTCCAGACCTTTCATCAATTGAAATATTTGGTGTATCTTGAAATGAAAAACATGACAAAGAAGAGCCGTTATAATCCTATATCAGGCAAAAATGGGCCGATATCCCTCTACCAAAACTCCAGCTACTGGTCTCCTCAGTTCCCAGACATTTACAGAGTATTGTTAAAAGGAGTAGAGATGCTGCACTGGGGTTAAATATGGCCCTGTCCCAACTTTTTGAGACGTGTTGCTGCCATCAAATTCAAAATTACCTTATTATTTCCTTAAAATTGTACATTGTCTAAGTGTAAACACATGTTTTTTTATTGCGAATAAAACATGGGTTTATGAGATCTTCAAAATATTGCGTTCTGGTTTTTATGTAGAATTTACACAGCGCCCCATCTTTATTGGAATTGGGGTTGTTCTTCTTCCAGATCTGTGCAGTAATCCAGTGTGAAACTCTGCTTCTGTACAGGAGCTTCCTGTAATAAAGACCAGCCACTATTGCTCTCTTTACATGTGCAGAGTGACTGGTCTTGTCTCCGCCCCCTCCTGTAGTTTCTAACCACATGCCGAACGCCCTATAGCAGATATACTGCTACAGGATGGCATGGTTATATACGTGATTTTGTATTTCCGGGTAGGGGGCTCACATGAGCCACAAGTGTGTCCTACCCGCGCCGCAGCTGTCAATCACCGGGTCCTGGGCGGCGATTACCCGCCGGCACCCGGTGATTACCGAGGATCTCCGACGGGGAGGAGGACTGCTTTGTTTACTAACAGTCCTCCTCCCTGTCAGCTCGGGCACACTGCTCTGGATGACTGTGCACAGCCCAGCCATCCAGAGCAGTGTGCTTACAGTGAAGTACCAACACCCCCACCCCACCACTAAAACACTCCCAGCACACAGTTAACCCTTTGATTGCCCCTCATGTTAACCCCTTCCTGTCCAGTGCCATTAGTACAGTGTCAGTGCTTCTTTTTTAGCACTGATCACTGATCACTGTCACTGGGGATGTCAATGACACCAAGTCAGTTCCCCTAGTGTCAGAATGCCCCCTGCAGTGCCGCTATAAGTCGCTGATCAGTGCCATTACTAGTAAAATAAATTCCAGTATATATACCACCATTTGTAAACGCTATAACTTTCACGTAAACCAATTTATCTACACGTATTGGGATTTTTTTTTAGCAAAGACATGTCGCAGAATACATTTTGGCCTAAATTTATGACGAAATTTGATTTTTAAAATTTTTTTACTGGACATGTTTAATAGCAAAAAGTAAAAAATAGTTTTTTTTTTTCAAAATTGATGCTTTTTTTATAGTGCAAAAAATAAAAAACGCACAGGCTATCAAATACCACTGACAGAAAGCTCAATTTGTGGGGGAAAAAAAGGCCAGACATTTAATTTGGGTGCAGAATTGCATGACCGCGCAATTGTCAAAGTAATGCAGCACCGTAATGCAAAAAATGGCCTGGGCAGAAAGGGGGGTAAATCCTCAGGAGAGCAAGTGGCTAAAGGAAGACTGCAGTGGGTGAGGCCTGCTGGGTCCACAGCTCTGCACACAGGCTATGTAAAGCATGCTGATGATGTCGCTACTTTTTTTAAATTAACATTTGGGTTTGCAAAGGCATTTTGTGTACACAGAGTGGTCTAAAGTACAACTAAATGCAAAACTTTTTTGTAGTGTTGGATAGAGTGGAGAGGGATTAGAACACCTGTCAGTTTTTATTGCTGTCTGTGTTCCCATTAGGGAGATTCACTCTCTCTATTTGTTCTGTTTACCATTATCATTGAAAATAAAAGAAAATCCCACATTGTGGGTTGTCCCCAGAAAAGTAATAGAAGGGAAATCTCCCAATGGGGACATTAGTTCTGGTGACCTGGGGGTCCCAAGGAATTCTGTTATTTTGCAGGGATTTCCTCTCACTTCATGTTTAGCTATGGGACAGAAAGCAGGGGTGTATTTACTATAAGGCAAACAAGGCATTTGCCTAGGGCGGTATTTTTGAGGGGGCAGCACTGCCCCCAGAAGAAGGAACATGCACAGCATGGGGACCAAGTGGGACCAAGAAGCTGCGAGCTGCTTGACAGTGTATGCAGAATCTGACTCTCGTTTCCGGGGATGTCCGGAGCTTAGAAGGTGTCTGTGAGTTTCTTTCTCGCTCTTGTCGGGGGGCTGCGGTGGGTGTATGAGGGAGGCAGTGGTAGTGGAAGGCTCTCTCAACGGCTGGGGGAGGAGGGGGAGGTGGTGTTGGTTGGTTTCAGGTTCTTTCCTTTGGGGGGAGGGTTGCTGTTGGTGTCATGCTCTCTCCACGCTTGGGAAGGGGGGGGGATTTGGTGTTGGTCGATGTCAGGCTCTCTCCTTTGGGGTGTTGGTCAGTGTTATGCTCTCTCCACAGTGTAGTGGAGGGGGGGGGGGTGCTGGTTGGTATCAGGCTCTCTCCTTTAGGGTGTCGTTGGTCAGTGTTATGCTCTCTCCAGTGTAGTGGGGGGTGCTGGTTGGTATCAGGCTCTCTCTGCGGAGAGGTTGGGGTGGCTGATTTTTGTGTTGCCTAGGGCACCACAACAAATAAATAAAGGTTTCCAGAACTAACTCTTCTAATCAGGCTATTCAGTAATTGAGCACTTAATTTCTTACTAGCTGTTCCATCACAAGCTGCACGTGCCCACATCAAACATGGCTACACTGAACAGGAAGTGCAGCTGACAGTTCCTACGTAGTCCCCGCCTCTTGCCCTCTCTTCCAGTCCCCGAGCTGAGCATGCGCGCCCTGCGCTGACTGACCTTGCCTGCAGTCACCATGTTGTCCCGGAGCAGCGTCCTCATCTTCCAGCCACAATGGTGAGAAGGCGGCCAACGCTAAATTCCTGGAGATAGGAGGAAGGGCGGTGGGGAAGGAGAGCGGCGAGGAGGTGGCCGGCGTGTGTGTGCCCCTGTGCGGGGTGTCCTCAGTGAAGGGGCGGGGGGGTGTACTAGGCCGCAGCAGGCTCCCTGAACCTGGAGGTGTCACAGACAATGAATGACAGAAAAGTTGAGACGAGTGCAGACTCCATAGACTTTCTCTGTACTGGGGCTTGTATGTAGGAGGCGGTGACCTGTGTCTGTATGGAGGGCACATGGTGAGTGTCATGGCCGGGGTCACCCTCCTGTCACCATGGAGACCCCCACTGACCTTCATCTCTCTGCTCATACAGCTGAGTCCAGACTGATACCTCCTTCTGTATGAAGTCAGCAGATGACGATGTTGATTCGTTCAGCTTTATTCTGATACAAGGTTACAGTCCATGATCCATCCTCTCCTGTCCTCTATTATCTGCCCCAGGAAATCTTTCTGTCTGGACAACTTTGTGATCCCTTCACTTCTTCTAGACAGGAGCCGGAGGGTGACCCCACTTACAGAGAACAGAATGGTGTCACCTTCATACCTGTTGATTAACCACTTGCCTACAGGGCACTTATACCCCCTTCCTGCCCAGGCCAATTTTCAGCTTTCAGCGCTGTCGCACTTTCATGCAGCATTGTACCCATATGAAATTTTTATCATTTTTTTTTTCTCACAAATAGAGCTTTCTTTTGGAGGTAATTACTCTCCACTGAGTGTTTTATTTTTTGCGCTATAAACAAAGAGCAAAAATTAAAAAAAAAACAAATTTTTTTTTTTTTTGTTTCTATTATAAAATTTTGCACACAGGTGAGCAAGGAGAATTCTTCTCCTTCAGTGATGTGCATTGATGAGTCTGCACGGGATGGGCAACACTGATGTGGCACTGCTGGGCACTGATCATCAGGGAACTGATGATCAGTGCCGATCCGGCCTCTGACAATTGCCAGCTATCTGCAGTACTTTCTACACGCTGTGACAGCTTGAGGAAAGTGCAGCCGATAACTGGCAACTGCATTTACCAGTGATCTGCTGTGTCATTGGACATGGCTGATCACGTGGTAAAATGCTGCTGTGATTGGCCTTTTACCATAGCACGTGATCAGCTGTGTCTGTAGGACACAGAGATCCCCGGGGGTGGCTGGCCACGGTGAAGCTGCCATTCGGCTATCTACAGTCGGCAAGTGGTTAATGGGGAAATGTCAGCAATTCTACAGCTCTGCTATCCCCTCCTGTCCGCGTGTTCCCTGTTAGCACTCCTACAATGCCCAATGGGCTCCTAGTGCTATTCACCCCAGTGTCTGATTGCTGGTTTGTGAGGGATGACTGGAGGCTGAGGTCCAGACAAAAGGTAGACAGGAAGTGCTGGTTCACATATATGCAGATTGGATGCGGTTTGAACCACATCCACATGACACGTATAATAACATTGCTTCCTATAATGCTTGTTCACATATGTCTGGTGCACTGGCAGTGCAGATTGAAAAAGAGTCAAGTCCGATTTCGGAGCAGTGTGGTCTGGTTCAGGTGCAGATTACAGACTGTTGACTTCTATGAGAACCGTTTTTAAACCACACGTGTGAACAGGATAAAAATCCTGTCCTGAACCTGATGTAAACCTGACATGAACGTGAAGCGCTGAACAACTACTGTCAATTAGCTGTGAAACCTGAGCTTCAATCCGCACCACACACGTGTGAATCAGCTCAAGGGTTATAAAAAAACTCGCATCATACAGTGCTGCTACAGTCTAAATATTTTGACATCAGTGCATTCTCTACATATCCCTGGTTCACACCGCTGCAATTTCAGGTGCGACATGCGATTTACACATCGCAGCTGAAGTCGCATCAAATGTATTTCTATGGCACTGTCTTAATAGGTGCAATTTCAAGTATCGTGATGTGCATTACTCTTTCACCACTTCAGTGTGATCTGTCTCTCATAGACTATAAGGTAAATGGCACTTTAAATGGGACCAAATTGCACCACTTTGAAATCGCATTTGGTGTGAACCAGGCTTAAACAGGAGCTTCAGGGCCGGTTCACACCATAGTGCGTTCCAGATGCTTTTGTACATGCATGTTTTCAATGCATTCCTGTGCATTTTCCCCACTTTTTTTTTCCTTTACTTTAAATTAGGACATGTGCATTTTTGGCATGTTTAGATGCGATCCAGTGCATCTTTGATGCGTTGTCCCGAGTTTCAGTACCGTACAGTGCAGAAAAAAATGCAGTATGTTGCACTTTTTTCTACTGGAACATACTGAAACTGACTGCACTGGTGTGAACTATGCCATTGGAAACCATATAACCTACTATCCATGCATTTTTCATGCAGTAAGTAAACACACTGGACTGCATGTGATGTGATGTGATGCATCCCCCAGTAGGTTCAGCAAAAATTAAAAGTCAGCAATTACAGCGCTGTCTTCATCCGGGCCAGTTCTTCGCCAATCTTTGGGTCCCTGACACCAACATGTTAACTGTGGGCATTCGGCTGTAATTCCTTGCAGCTTCACACTGCGCATGCATGAGCTGCACTGCACTTTGTGAATGGTCCTGCAGCCTTCTGGGACCTGTGATGTGTCCTAGAAGACTGTGGGCAGGAACTCTGGGCAAATTATTCTAAATGTGGGTGAAGTTGCCCACTACCTGTACCTCCCCATCTCTAAACACGTATGTATGTCTCCTCACCTATCCAGCACTGTCCTAGCTGCAGCCAGACTCTCCTCCACTTCCTGGTCTCACAGGAGACATTGAGAGCAATGGGAGCTACAGTCTCCTGTTGTCAGTCAAAATCCTGTAAGGAGGGAGTGTGTGTGTGTGGGGGGGTGTGGCTTACAAGCGCAGTGTGTATCTATGGACTCACACAGGCTGGCTCGTGAGCACGCCCACACAGGTGCCCCCTTAGCACCGCACTTGTTGGTGGGGGGCATTCTTGGAAAGAAGCAGTGGACAGCTCTGGCAGGGGGACCAGGAGGAGATAAGAGGCTGCTCTGTGCAATATCATCATACAGAGCAGGTAAGTATACCCTCTTCTTAAAAAAAAAAAAAAAAAAAAAAAAAAAATGAAAAATTATCACTTTAGACAATGTCTTCCCCTCTGCTCTTATGATTGCTGTGCAATTAGTCATGTGACTGCCAAGCTCCGCTGAGGGTGTCTATGCGGCTGGTGGGCATTGACTGTTTTACGGGTGACAATATCTCAGAACAATGGATGCCGGTGAGTTGAAGTCACTGCTCGATGGATTCTGTGCTGTTGTTGAGGCTGCACAGACAGGCACACCTGCTGGGACTTTGCAGTCACTTGGAAATGGGTAAAAGGATTTCCCAATGAGATTTCTCACAATCTGTTTGCAGCAAATCTAAGAGCAGTGGGAAGGCAGCCTATTCAACTGTGGGTTATATTCATCTTTCCTTCTAGAAGGGACATTGTCTCCTTGCCCATGTAGGACAGAGTGACATTGAGGGACATTACTAAGACTGGAACAGACAGAATCTGGAGTAGCTATGCATGGTAAATAAGTCGGCTTCTAGCATTCATTTTCAAAGTTTAACTGAGCAAGCTTAGCCTATATCTAATTGGTTGCATGCACAGCTGCTCCAGATTTTGAATACATTCTCCCCATTGTGTTTATAAAGGCCCCTCACTCCTATTCTACTTTAGCATCATTCCCCAGATCTGTGTTGCAGGCTGCACTAAAAGTTGAGCCAAGCACTGACACATGGGAAGGTCTCATGTTCCTCCATATGCGTTAGCACTGTTATTTTCTTTGCATGCGTAGTGAGGGAGTGCTGGTAAGAGTACAGGGACGAGGGTCCTTTCCAAACACTAGCACTTTGCTGTGAATGGGTAAGGTGACACAATGTAAATGTTCGCTAGCACACCACGGATCTTCAACTAAGTCTGATCATTTGTTTTTATTAAAGTAAGATCACATTACAAAACAAAAAGTGCAACATTGGACGAAGGGGCCCTGCACAGCTCTGAAACGTTGCACTTTTTTGTTTGTAATGTGTTCTTTCTTCAGTAAAAAAAATATGTAGGCTTAGTTGAAGATCCATGGTGTGCTGAGATATATTTACACTGTCTTGTGGTGCATACTTCAATATCCAGCTGGTGGTCACTGCAGCACCTGGTACTTTTGAGGGCTTATTCCAGCAACATGTGCGATGGGAATATGGACTGTTATGGGTAAGGTGACAGTGAAACTATTAGGGCTTGCTCACAAGAACGCAGTTGCTGCACTAACACAGTCGCTGCTTGACATCTGTAGTTGGTGCATCTCTCCATATGCAGACTTTGTGACTTCAGAAACATGCCCCCGCACTCACAAATGTCAGATTGGGAGCAGCCACTGCATCACGATTGACATCACTATGACTGTCTGCATGGAATACTTGTGCATCCCGTGCTGGAAAACACAGCACTCCACGGGTGTACGTTTTAGTATGCACCATGTGAACAAGGCCTAAAGCAACTGCTGCAAAATAAGAAACCTAAACAAATATTGCTGCCCACAAATAAAAGAATAAATAATCTGTAACCCCATCTACACCATCATTCGTTGCCCTTTCTTCTGCATATGACACTTAAAGGATTGTCGGTTGCCTGGACTTTCTCTGTGCTCTGTATTTTTATCAGCCAAACTCCAGCATCATTACAGGCTCAGGCATCCGAACACCCAGAACATTCTTCTGCAGAGGTAGTGTAACTTATCAGCAGAGAAAAGATTGGTGCAGCTAGTGGAATGGTTGGTAATAAATGCACCACAGTTTAACATAATACATCCAAAGCAAACTGTACAACATTCCCTACTACATTTTCTATTAATATGTGAGAAAATGCACTTGCATAACCTGTTATCCACCATTGCTGCTTGCCTCCAGGTTGCAACACACTGCTTCTCCAAACTTGTGGGTGGGAGAGCCTATGCACTTCGTATCACTAAAAGGGATAGCACAGGCGCCAACAGCTGTCCCTCACTTAGCTTGGAGGAGCTGTAGCTCCCCTTAAAGGAAACCTATGGTCACAGCATATACTTTCATTTTGTAACATCAGCAATGTAATAATACAAACAATAGTTATTTTTGACAATTCAATGTAAGCTTGCTTGCAAAATCTACTTCCATGTTGTGAGTTCTGTCTCCTGGCCATCTTTTTCCACAACTTCCTGGACTCTGGATTCCTTGCAGCTTCTTCTCTGCTGTTTACTTTTGATTTCTAAGGGCTACCTAAAGCATGGTACCTTGCTGCCTACAAGCAGTGATTCCTGTGCTGATTCCACCTCCTGAAACTCCTTCCCCCAGCACCTCTGTAGAAGACAGGCTCTGTGAATTTTGTGACATTCATACTGAATATGTCCTGCTTGCTGTCCTCATTTGTTTCTATGTATCCCTACAATGTTACACAATAGCAACTGTCAGGCAACTAGAATTTTCAAAGGTTGGCTCTGTTCATCCCGAGTAGTTTACTTTTCTAGCTAAAAATCCCGAAATACCTTCCATTTAAATATGTTGGACTGTAGTTCTTTAAGCCCTTGAAAGAGAAATATAGAGTATATTAAAAAAAAAATACACACACCCACCTAGGTGGTTGGTGCATCTGTCCCCTGCTGCTTCTAAGACTGAGAACTAAGTGATCAAAGGACGCTGATTGATCAGTCTTCAGTGAATACAGAGCTTTCTGCCCTGCTTCTCCAGCGCCCACTGGAGCCTCAGGCTATGGGGGGGGGGGGGGGCAGGAGCGGCTGGCTCATGCTTTCAGTGGCTTGCTGAGAAACTGAGCCAGGCATCTGGGTGGATCCCGATGTTAAAGTCAGAATTGATCCAGAGCCTGGAGCAGCTGAGTGACAACGGGCTTTAGCACTTTTGTTATCCATAGAAGAAGTAGGGTCAAAAAAAGCTTTCTCCTGTAATGGAGAAAAGGTTGGCATATGAAATATAGGAATGATATAAGCAGTAGAGAAAACAGATAATCTGGTTGGTTTTCAGATAATTATGATATAGATGTAGTATAGAGGATCATGTTAATGGATTTCTTTGGCTACTTTCAATAATGCATCTAAATTACTGTTTTATTTTGTTGCTTCCTTTTAAACCATTGCAATAACAAACCTGTCTATCATACCTCTGTATTTTTAAAGCATTGTTCTGTTACTTTTCTCTTGAAGGGGTCAAGTCAGGAACATGGCAACTTTGAAAGACAGTAAGTAGCTTTATTTTAAGATGCTTGTTAATTAAAGCGGTAGTAAACTCTCCCACTCCGATGCTGTTTTCCATCTAGTCCATTATATTAGGTGATTATCAATCATTGTTCATTGTAATTCAGCCCCAATCACATATTTATTACTTGTTTTACATCTTTTAAAAATTGTGCCTCCAGCGATAACCTGGCGCCGTCTTAGGTATTGTTTTCTGAGTTCCGCCCTTTCACGTAGTCCTTGCTGTAATCTCGCTCATGTGCGATCGTTTCTTAGCCAAGCCTCGTTCCATCATTCCTATGGCAACTGTGTTCCGCTGAACATAGCCGACAGTCACATGGTTTTTCAGTGCAGTGCCGCAGGGAGCGGAAAATACAGACACGGCAAACTTGTCAATGGACGGATGGCACACAGAGTGTGCCATCCATCGAGGGAGAGATGTGCATGCTCCAATGACACCATTACAAAGAATGGGACGAATTGTAAGAAAACAGAGCAAGTAAGGAGACATCTAAATGCAGTAATCGGTGCTTTTTATGCTGATTTAAATGTGATAAAGTTGTGGGTAGAGTTTACCACCACTTTAAGCAAGACAACTTTTTGTTTCCTTTTTGTTTGTATGCAAATTGGCTTTGCATTTCATTGTCACTCATCTGCTTTACAGTTACAAGACGTTTGAAATCTATCAAGAACATCCAGAAGATTACCAAATCTATGAAGATGGTTGCCGCAGCAAAGTATTCAAAGGCTGAGAGGGAGCTGAAACCAGCTAGAGTATATGGAACAGGGGCTCTAGGTACTTCTGTTAGATATTTTTCATAGAATTTTTCTCCAGGTTTGGAGAAAAATGGTAACAATTTACTCTTGTAGCGGACCCCTTTACCCATGCACTGCAAGGTTTAAATGCTTATGTCTAGGGGTAGAGGAATAAGCTGTAATACTTACCTTGATTCGCACTTCAGCAGGCTGATGTTATCCTCTTCTCTTTGAAGCTCTGGGTTGTAGGCGGTTCTTGTGTATGATACAGGGCTACTGGTTTCTACATAGAATGTGACACCGCTAGCCTGAGAGTCGAAGAGAAGAGGCTTTGGGGGAATGATTGCACAGTGTAGAGGAAACCTCCACAAAAGGAATAGTGTAAGTATTACACTCTATCCCTAGACTTAACAAACATTTAACCCTTGCAGTGTAGGGAGCCCCTACAGCAAGGGTAGTTTTGGGGGTTTTTTTTCTTGTGTCTTCAGTAGGGCTTCGTCAGTGTTTGTTGTTAGTACTGGTTTAGGTGGAGAATTCATTTAATGCTTTGGAAAACTAGCTCATTTCAAACTGACAATTTGTTTTTAACAAAAACCAGTTCATTTTAGGACTGCACATATGGTATCAATGAAGATTCCTGTCCTGTCTGCTTGTAGTCCATTCACTCTTCTTCAAGCTTTCAAACTGAAAGCCTGTCCAGAGGTCTGGAAGGGGAGTGTACAGGAGCCTGGCATTGCGCCAATAATGCACTGATGATGAATACAATGCTTTGCAGGCTCCTGTAAGGAAAAAAAAACGTGCATTTATATTTTTTTTTTCCTAAAAGGTGAACTAACCCTTTTTAAAGTGTTTTTTTTTTTTCCCTGAAGGGTGGGATATGAAAGTTTTGAATGCTGGATATGGTATGTCTTACTTGAAGTGAGCAGTGTACCATTGCTAATTTGATGATTCTGCTATATTTGTATGAAAATATTGCAGCTTTTACGCAGGATCTTGCTGGCAGAAGGTAGCAGCTAGATCCTGTGTAAAAAGTGCTCTGTATTAATGTAAAATTTGAGAAGCGTTTACATGTGTACAGCATTAAAGTGTGAAAGGCCTCTATTGGTCACAATTGCTGCTCAGCTATTTGCTCTGATGCAGGCAGCATAAGTTGCCTGTACCCTATCAACGAAAGATGCCAGTCCAATTACAGACACCATAAAATGCCAGGGCCAATCACAATGCACAGGCAGTCAGTTCCCCATCAGGTTCATGTGTGGGGTAAGGGGGAGATTGGTTCTACTGTTCTCAGCATCCTGACATTGATATTTTGAAATGCATGAACAGAGTAATTGGGTGGTTGTTCTAGGTGGGAGAAGACCTTTTATACTGTTTGTATAATATTATACACTGGCAGAAACAGCTCCTCCCACTTGCTGTTAGTTCAGTCCCAATGGACTGGTTGTGTTTCAATGGGAGACACATTCTCCAATTCAACCTCTAGATGGCACTATTGTATCATACATGCCATAGGTCATATACACTGTATTGCCAAAAGTATTGGGACACCCCTCCAAATGTTTGGATTCTGGTGTTCCAAGCACCTCCATGACCACAGGTGTATACAATCAAGCACCTAGGCATGCAGACTGCTTCTACAAACATTTGTGAACGAATAAAACCTGCCATACATGGGTCGAACTCTGAAAGAATTTTCTTTCAAAAATCTTTTCTAAGAATTTTGAATCAATGTTGGGACAGTCGTATGGGAAATATAAACAAAAACAAAAATGAGCATGAGCTGTGACCTGGCAGGAAAAGAAAATTCTTGGCCATGAAAATTCTTTTCTATAGCACCATGAGGTGAAATTGAAGGCTTGGTTGGTTGAATTTCGAAATCAATAGTGGTGCCATCGGATTACAAAATGCACAAAATTTGCGATTTTCTAAAGAAAATTCAGAATTTGCCCCATGTATGGCATGTATAAGGCTGCTTTCACACTGAGGAGTTTTCAAGCGTTTTTGCTTTTAAAAAAAGCACCTGAAAAGCTAAAGTAAACGGCTTCCCTGTGTATGTGAATGTATATCTATGTATGTTTTCACACTGAGGCATTGTGCTTGCGGTGCTGTGTAAAAACTCCTGCTTACAGCATCTCTGGGGCATGTTTGGGGAGTTTAAAAAAAAAAAAAAAAAAAAGCCTCAAAAGTGCCTCTTCCCATTGAAAGCAATGGAATATGCCCAAAAAGCTCTTCAAAAACGCATCTGAGAAGCGTTTTTGGTGCAGTTTTTAAATCACATGTCCTTTAAAAAAAAAAAAAGCCCAGAAAGCGCAGTAAAAACACCTATGCGATTTTGCTGTGTTTTTGCGCCAGATCAGTGTGAAAGTAAGGCTACTTTCACACTGATCCGCTGCAAAAACGCATAAGCGTTTTTTTACCGCGCTTTTGCCACACTTTCTGAGCGTTTTTACAGGTCACGTGACTTAAAAACTACCAAAAACATTTCTTAGAGGTACTTTTCAAGCGTTTTCCATCGATTTCAATGGGAAGAGGCGTTTTTTTTTTGGGGCGTTTTTTTTTTTTTTGTTTTATTTTTTTTACTCTCCCACACATGCCCCAAAGATGCTGCCAGCATGAGTTCTTACACCACAAGCGCAACGCGTCCCTGTGAAAACATACATACATATACATTCACATACATAGGGAAGTGTTTTCTTGAGCTTTTCAGGCGCTTTTTTTTTTTTTTTTTTTTTTTTTTTTAACAAAAACGCTTCAAAAACTCCTCAGTGTGAAAGTAGCCTTAGTTGTGCTCAGGAGGTCAGTGATTTCAAGCGTGGTACCGTGATAGTTTGCCACCTGTGCAATAAGTCCATCCGTGAACTTTCCTTACTACTAAATATTCCCCGGTCAACTGTTAGTGCTTCTATAACAAAGTGGAAGCAACTGGGAACAACAACTCAGGCACGTAGTGATAGGCCACGTAAAATGACAGAGCAGGGTCAGCACATGCTGAAGCGCACAGTGCGCAGGAGTCGCCAACTGTCTGCAGAGTCAATAGCTAAAGACCTCCAAACTTCATGTGGCCTTCAGATTAGCAGAACAGTGCATAGAGAGCTTTGTAGAATGGGTTTCCATGGCCGAGCAGCTGCATCCATCCTTACATCACCAGTGCAATGCAAACCCTGGGATGCAGTGGTGTAAAGCATGCTGCCACCTGACCTCACAAATTCGCTCCTGGAAGAATGGTCAAACATTCCCACAGACACACTCCTAAACCTTGTAGGCAGCCTTCCCAGAAGAGTTGAAGCTGTTATAGCTGCAAAGGGTGGGCCAACTGATTATTGAACCCTACAGACTAAGACTGGGATGCCATTAAGGTTTGTGTGTGAAAGGCAGGCCGACCAATACTTTTGGCAATATAGTGTATGTCAGAAGCTATTAACCATTGATTAACGTGACACGTTCAGTTGCTTAATTAAATGTAGAACAAAAAAAGAGCCCAGCATTCAACAATGGTATCTAAGTTTTCATTGTCGAAGACAGCTTGGTTAATTGCTACCAAGGCTTTTGTTTTAAAAGTCCACTCAAACATTCAAAAGTAATCTGATTTCTGTTTCTAAGACAAATGAACAAACAGATCCTTTTCTGTAAGTTTGAGGAAAAAACTCATAAAACAGACATAAATGTATACCAAATGCAACACAAGATATTAGCAGTGGCAGTCTGTATCTCTCTCAGAACAGGGTTCTATAAGGTATAGTTTTCCAAGCAATTCTGTATAAATTGTCAGTTGAAAGTGCTAAATATTTTTTCTCTCTCCTTTAGCATTGTATGACAAAGCTGAAATTAAGGCTCCTGAAGACAAGAAAAATCACCTCATTATCGGTGTGTCCTCTGATAGAGGTCTTTGTGGTGCTATTCATACATCTGTGGCTAAAGCTATTAAAAGTGAAATTTCCTCGCTCGCTGGTAGTGGAAAAGAAGTTAAAGTGATTGGAATTGGGGACAAGTTGAGAGGTTTACTGCAAAGGTAATTATAAAGACATGTAACCACTTGCCTACTGGGCACTTATACCCCCTTCCTGCCCAGACCAATTTTCAGCTTTCAGCACTGTCAAACTTTGACAACTACTCAGTCATGCAACACTGTACCCATATGAAGTTTTTTTTTCACACAAATAGGGCTTTCTTTTGGTGGTATTTAATCAGCACTGGGGTTTATTTTTTTGCACTATAACTGAAAAAAAAAAAAAATGACCAAAAAATTTGAAAACACATTTTTTCTTTGTTTCTGTTGTAAAAGTTTGCAAATTAAGTAATTTTTCTTCATAAATTTTGGCCAAAATGTTTACTGCTACATTTCCTTGGTAAAAAAATAACTTAAATCTGTGTATATTATTTGGTCTTTATGAAAGTAATAGTCTACAAGCTATGGTACCAATCATTGAAAATTGATCACACCTGATGTACTGATGTCCTATCTCATTTCTTGAGACACAAGCCAAAACAGTACAAATACCTTCCAAACGACCCCTTTTTTTGGAAGTAGATAGCCCTAGGTATTTAGTCAGAGGCATAGTGAGTTTTTTGAAGTTGTAACTTTTTCCACAATTCTATTAAAAATTAAGGTGTGTTTTTTTTTTTTTTTTTTTTTTTTTTTTTTTTTTTTTTTTTTTTTGTTTTTCAACAAAATTGTTATATGAAAAGGTTATTTCTCCCACACGGCATATGCATACTTGCAAATACACCCTAAAAACACATTCTGCTACTCCTGAGTATGGGGATACCACATGTGTGACACTTTTTTCACAGCCTAGCCACACAGGGAGGCCCAACATCCAAGGGGCACCTTCAGGTGACCTAGGGGTATAAATTACACCTTTAATATCCTGACTACCTATTACACTTTTGAAAGACCCTGGAACACCAGGACAATGGAATTGCCCACAAAATGACCCCATTTTGAGAAGCAGACACCCCAAAATATATTCTGTGAGGCATAATGAGTCTTTTGCACATGTCATTTTGTTTCCTACAAGTTTTTGGAAAATGTGGAAAGAAAATGAAAACTTTTTTTTTTTTTTAACACAATGTTGTCTAATTTCCAACACATAGCATGTACATACCAAAAATAACACCCCAAAATACATTCAGCTACTCCTGTGTATGGGGATACCACATGTGACACTTTTCCACAGCCTGGCCACTTAGAGAGCCCCAACATCCAAGAAGCACCTTTTAGGCGTTCTAGGGGCAAAAAATTATACATCAAATTTCCTGACAACCAATCACGTTTTTGAAGCCCCTGGAACAACAGGAAAGTGGAAACACCCACAAAATGACCACATGTTGGAAAGAAAACACCACAATGTATTTTGTAAGAGGCATAATGAGTCTTTTTTGAACATTTCATTTTTTTTTTTTTTTTCCCAAAAGTTTTCGAAAATGTGGAAAGAAAATGAAAATGTATTTTTTTTTTTTTTTAACACAGAGTTGTCAATCTATAAGATATTTCTAAAAAACAGCATGGACACAAGAATTGCACCCCAAAATACATTCTGCTACTCCTGATTATGGGGATAACACATGTGCAAGACCTTTTCAATGTCTGTACAGATTATGTGCCCAGCATTGCAACAAGTGTAACACAAAAATCAACAAACCCTGTATAGAAAACAATGTAAACAAAAGATTGCCTGTGGTATGAGGTCCAGGTCAATACAGGCAGCAGGCTGACATCCAGGCAGCAGGCAGAAACAAGGTCCATAAAAAGTCCTGGGTCAGTACAGGCAGCAGGCAGACATATGGTCAGCACAGCCAAAGAATGGTTAAGGCAGGAACATGGTCCATAAAATGTCCTGGGTCATTACAGGGAGCAGGCAGAGATATGGTCAGCACAGCCAAGGTATTTGTCCAGGCAGCAGGCAGGAACATGGTCCATAAAATGTCCTGGGTTATTATAGGCAGCAGCAGGGGCAGACTGACCATTTGGAAACTCGGGCGATGCCCGGGGTCAGTAGGGGGGGCCCCATGAGATGCCCCTGGTACTTTTTTTTTTTTTTTTTTTTTTTTTCCCCATAGGCTTTTTTGAGTTTGGGCTAGGACACAGGGGCCCCATGATCCCCTATTGCCCGAGGGCCCCATGAGTTGTCAGTCCGCCCCTGGGCAGCAGGCAGAGATATGGTCAGCACAGCCAAAGCCTTGGTCCAGGCAGCAGGCAGGAACATCAGGCTTAGGGCCTTGGTCATATAGGACCAGGGCACAGGGATAGAGGCTTCGTCCCACCCAATCTCTTTGAAGCCTCCAGACAAACAGACCCTGTTCTGGGAATTACAAAACCCGGAGAAAACCAAAAACTGGTTTTCTCTACTCTGAAACCCCTCACATATGAGAGACCCCTGTGTTATCATGAATCCTACTACTACAGTAGTAGGGCAAAGTATCAATCCAAGCAGCAGGCAAAAAACATGGTCGATTAACAGGCCGAGGTCCATCCAAGAAGAAGCATAAACGTGGTTGATAATTCAGACGGCAGGCAGAAGCATAGTCCATAAACAGGCCAGGGTCAGTTCAGGTGGAAGGCAGAAACATGGACAAACATTGCAAACGGCAGGCAAAGTCATAGATGATAAACAGGCCGGGGTCGGTTAAGGTAGAAGGCAGTGGCATGGTTGGTTGAGCCAGCAGGCAAATGATCAGCAGAGATATTGAAACGGGGAAATGGCAGGCAGTTTGAAATATGGGCTAATATTTTAGTAACGTGCAGTCTCCGATGCACAGGCCTGGTTGGGAGGGACAGGGGGGAAAGTGAAAAACTAACTTCTAACTTCTCCTCTGCTGCATACCTGACGTCTTTTTTGGCATCTTCAACCTGCTTCTGTTGGTGGAATGCTCTCAGGGAAGCGGCTGTCATGAAGTCTGCTCAAAGAATCTGAACAAATTCTTTTCTGGGGGGGATCCTTGCTGATAAGGAACGTGACAACTTCTATAAATTTGATTTTAAATAGGGCTGCAACAACTGATCGTTAAAATCCACCTCCGCCATGTAGAGATTATAATCTTGGATGGCCGCAGGCTTTTGAATCGGACCATGTCTTCCAGTAATTTCCACCAAGGTGTCATTGTGGATGGTGGACAGGACGTAAACGTCTCTTATCCTTCCAGTTCAGGGCCAGCACTTCGTTGTTTCTTAGGCATGCTGATTCTTTGTAGCCTGGTATTCACTAGAGATTGTGGGAAGCCCTTCCTGTTTTTTCGGGAGGTACCACGGGCCAAGGTTTTATCACAGTACAGGTGCGGAAAAGGGGCAGACTGGTATAGAAATTATCCATGTCAATGTGATGGCCTTTTTGGAAAAGTGGATAAGCCAGGTCCCAGACAATTTTTCCACTTGTTCCAATGTAGGTTAGGCACTTGGGCTAGAGCTGGGAATCTTTGCCTTCATATATGCAGAACGCATATAAATATCCCCTGGCTCTTTCACAAAGCTTGTAGAGCTTTACTCCATATCTCGCCCTCTTGGAATATATTGCTTAATTCCTAGCCGGCCAGTGAAGTGGACAAGGGATTCGTCCACACATGTTTTTATCGAGGACAAGAACTTCAGTAAATCTTTGGGGGGAAAAATTAAGAAGTGGGCGAATTTTGTATAATTTGTCATAGTTGGGATGATTTCTGGGATGGCACTGGGTATTGTCACTGAAATGAAGGAAACGCATGATCATCTCATAGCGTGACCTGGGCATTACTGCAGAATAAACTGGCATGTGGTGGATTGGGTGTGTGGACCAGTATGCATGTCCATTTTTTTTTTTTTTTTTCTGTCCGCTCTGTGTTTGCCCCTCCAGTGCTCACTGGAGTGCTGGGCTGTGGAGCAGGTGGAAGCAGCTGGCTCAAGCTGTCAGTAGTGCGCTGAGAGGATGAGCCAGCTGCTGACCAGGCATCTGGGTGGATTCCGACATTATTGTTGGGATCCCTGCAGAGCCTGGGCCAGCTCTGTGATGTTGGCTAAATCTGGGTCACAGGTGTGCACTCGTGTTACCCACAGGAGAAGTATGGCCAAAAGAACTTTGGCATACTTCTCTTTTAACAATATGCTAGTTAACTTAAAGTGGGGTGGGCCTTCTTAAAACAGGAGGTATTTGCCTGTAAATTTTTCCTGTAAAAATGAATAGTTGTAATGAACCACTTTTTAGTTTTTTTTTTGGCAATACAATGTAATTTGAAAGGCAGTTAAAAGTTCAGTGTGACTCCTTGTGCGAGGCCTTTAGCTGCATATACATGATTATTAAGATAACTTTTTTTTTTCTACTTGGAGAAATCTTTTTTGAGGGCGAAGTGTAAGTTTAGGTTCATAGAGTAGTAGTATTGGTGGTGTAATATAATGCCAGTTTTGGAGAGGAATCTTTTCATATAGTAAGAATTATACGGAGGGTGCAGTGAGTCTTTTAGGTTGGATAGGTAAAGCCAGACCACATAGGGTTTTGCTGTTGTTGGCACAAGCAGCCCCTTGACCTTCATGCTATTCCTAAAAGCTACCACAACCATTAACCTAAACACTAAAGGCAAGCTTCTACCCTGACACTTTAAGTGCAAGGCAAGTCAAGACTTAAAGCAAAGCGCCACCCAAAAGTGGAAGTTCTGCTTTAAGGCAATGCTCCCCATTAAGGATTTGCACCTTTTGGGGGCAAGGGGAGCGGGTACCCGAATTTGACAGGTACCCTCTCCAACTTCCGGTCCGATCGCCTAGGCGATTGGAAGCGGAAGGTGTCCTCCCTAACTCCCTGTAGTCTTTTGGGACACGTGATAGGTCCCAGAAGACTACAGGACCATTCATGAAGCGCAGCGCTACTCGTACAAGCTATCACAGCCGGGTGCCCACACTGAAGATGCCAGCCTTCTGGAATACAGGACGGCTGGTGAAACAGGGTGCGGGGGACCGAGGGACAGGTAAGTGGCTGTTTTTTAAAAGTCAGCAGCTACAGTTTTTTTGTAGTTACTGACTTTTATTTTTTGACAGGGTGAGTGGAACTCCGCTTTCAGTAAGCTTGCTCCTGATCCCACCCCTCATTCTAAGCCTATTTTATCCACCATGTGAAAGGAAAGATGTCTATACTTGCCTATTCAGAGGCCTTCTGGTCTGATCGCATTATCGGGTCCCAATGCCTTCATCAGTGTAGAAGAGGGATTGCCAACAACAGATTCCCCATAGTAAGCCTGTTGGTGACCTCATTTGCCAGGCTCTGCAGCCGTTGTCAGTGATTTTTCCTCTTCACTGAAGCTGCCGCTAGAGCAGGGCATGAAATTTCCACTCACCTGCTCGCCAATGGCGAGTGGAAATTATGGTAGGGGCGAGTGCTTCCCCCAGGGCCCTCTTGCTGAGCAGGCTCGGAGCTCAGGCCAGATTTGTCATTGGCACTGGGAGCCGTCAGACCGCTCAATAGCTGAGCGCAGTAAAATGAAAGCAAGGAGTGTGTGCTGTGCTCTCTGCCTCCCCCTAGAGTGCAGTACCTGGATCTGTGAGTGAACAACGAAGTACTGCAACTTTTTATGGGGGGGGGGGGGGGGGGTGTGTGTGTCTGTGTATGTATGTTCATGTGTGTATCTGTACATGTGTCTGCGTGTATATACATGTACGTGTGTGTGTGTTCGCGCATGTACGTGTGTGTGTATGTATGCACATGTGTCTGTGCGTGTGTATTTCTGTGTGTGTACATGTATCTGTGTGTATGCGTGTCTGTACATGCCTGTGTGTGTATACATGTGTCTCTGTGCGTGTGTGTACATGTTTCTGTGTGTATGTACGTGTGTGTGTGTGTGTGTGTGTGTGTATACAGGTGTCTGTGTGTGTGTTTGTTGGTGGCGAGTAACTCTAAGGCCTGGCTAGTAGCTCAGGACTTGAAATTTTAAGCCCTGCGATAGAGAGATCATGTGACTGGACTGGAGCATGTTTAGAACAGGTAAGTATACACATCTATCCTTTTACAGGGTGTATAGAATAGGCTTAGAATGGGGGTGGGAGCAGGATTGCGTTTAGGTAGTTTTTGACATGCCTTCCACTTTACCTCTTAACTTTAGTCCTTAAATGAAACCTACGCTGAGTGAATTGCAGGGGCTAACAGAATGGACCCTGCTGTGTATACTAGTTGCCTGATTGTTATTCTGGTGTCAATATTTACTGAGGCACTGACCTGGAACAACTACGTAGCAAAAGTAAAGTCTGAGCTCCTGATCTGCCTGTTACTGTCAGGTTTGTGATTTTTGAGTAGTTTTGAAAATATTGGATCAGCATTCACTGGTAAGGAAACTCAGAATATCTCGAACTAAGCAATGGCAGCCTCCCCTTTTTTCAGTATAGGGTTTTTATTAATTTAAGCTTTATAATAAACCCTTAACCTAGTTCATAGCCCCATTATCTTATTCCATGAATAGCCATTATCAGGCCCCCCAAAAAAAAAAAAATCAATGCCAAACATGACCAGCACTCAATCCCCAAAAAAAACGCAACTGTTCCTGCAAAACCAGTAGTTTACCTTTTTATCAAACATAACTTGTAATAATGTGATGTCTTCAGTATATCAAAAGTTAAGTGTTTTGCAAGGTGATTTTAGTAAAAATTTTCTGTTCTTAGAAAAGGTATTTTAAAACCTATTGACGCTGGTTTCCCATTTTTTAAGGACTCATGGTAACCACTTCCTGATCAACTTTAAAGAAGTTGGTAGAAAGCCGCCTACTTTTGGTGATGCCTCAGTTATTGCTTCTGAGCTGCTGAACTCTGGCTATGAATTTGACCAAGGATCTGTGGTGTTCAATCGATTCAGGTTTTAAAAAACTTTCCCCTTCTCTTTTTTTTTTTTTTTTTTAGAATGTTTGTTCTATATGATAGAAAACTAATGTTGCCATGTATTTTTGCAGGTCTGTAATCTCCTACAAGACTGAAGAAAAGCCAATCTTTTCTGTAGACACGGTTGCCAATTCTGGTGAGGGTTGACCAATTTTGTAATAGAATAATATTATGTATATTTGTTCCTCATGGTGCTCTCCTCCATTATTAAAACGGTAGTAAACACCGCTTATAATAACGCTTATCTGTAGATACCAGAAATATCTCCATAAATGTGCGCTGTTTAGGAGATGTGCGCTGTTGTTTCAGTGTCACCTACACATGCACTCTGAATGGGATGGCGTACTAATGCCATCCCTTTAGAGCTCTGTGCCGTGTTTTCCCGTATGCTCATGAGTGATGTCATTGCAGCTCGACCATTAAAACAGCTACAGCCCACAAACCCAGAAGGAAGATTGGGTAAAGATGGAAGCCCTGTCAGCCATAAAAGCATGCCACTGAAGGGCTGTGTTTTAAGGCAAGTCTTTCATAATGTGCTAGTATGCGATGCACATTATGCTTTTAACTTGCAGGGATAAGCATTTGCTGCTGTAATAAGGCCATTTAGCAGCTAGTAATATCAGTCACTTGTTTACTACCCATCCAAGAAACATTTTAGAGCGTGACCTTGCTTTGTGCACTGGTGCACAGTCATGTTGGTACAGAAAGCGGCCATCTCCAAACCTTTCCCCAAAGTTGGGAGCATGAAATTGTCCAAAATGTCTTAGTATGCTGATGCTTTAAAGTCCCCTTCTCTGGAATTAAGGGGCCAAGCACAACCCCTGAAAAAAACATCCCCACACAATAATCCCCCCTCCACCAAACTTTAAACTTGGCACAATACAGACAGGCAAGTACTGTTCTCCTGGCAACTGCCAAAGCCAGACACGTCCATCAGAGAAGTGTGATTCGTCACTCCAGAGATCACGTCTCCACTGCTCTAGATTCCAGTGGCGGTGTGCTTTACACAACTGCGTCCAACGCTTTTCATTGCACTTGGTGATGTAAGGCTTGGATGCAGCTGCTCGGCCATAGAAACCCATTCCATGAAGCTCTCTGCGCACACTGTTGTTGTGCTAATCTGAAGGCCACACAAAGTTTGGAGGTCTTTAGCTATTAACTCTGCGCACTGTCATGCGCTGACCCCGCTCTGTCATTTTATATGGCCTACCACTTCGTTTTTGAGTTGCTGTTTTTCCCAGTTGCTTCCACTTTACAATACCACTAACAGTTGACCGTGGAATATTTAGTAACAAGGAAATTTCACGGATGGACTTATTGCACAGGTGGCACCACGCTTGAATTCACTGAGCTCCTGAGAGCGACCTATTCTTTCACAAATGTTTGTAGAAGAAGTGTGCATGCCTATGTGCTTGATTTTATACACCTGTGGCCATGGAGGTGATTGGAACACCTGAATCCAATTGATTTGGAGGGGTGTCCCAATACTGTTGGAAATATAGTATATCAGGGGTCTATTAAAGCCCTAATGTCACCTCTGTACTCAGCCTGTGCCCAGTCAGTTTCTTTCATGGCTAGTGTCCAGAGTTAAACAGCTCTAGGAATGGAAGCGCTCAGAGCGAAGTGCTTCCAGTTTACACTTCCACAGGGTGAATTCACTTACAAATGCTATAGTGGCTGGGAGTTTCTTTCCATGTATAATAGATACAGTGGTGGTGGCAAAGGGTAAAGAAGATTCTTGGAACAACTCCTGCCTATTGAAGACTGTTGGTATATTGGTGATTTCTTTAGTGGAAAATATTCATATATATAGATGCATAGAATACAGTATTTACATATGTATGTTAGACACTTATGGTAGCTGAATGTGGAGAAAATGTGTTTTAGAAACCAGTGCTCATAGTAATTTTTTCCCTTTCCAGAAAGTATCAGTATTTATGATGACATTGATGCAGATGTGCTGAGAAATTACCAGGAGTTTACTTTGGCAAATATCATCTATTACACATTGAAAGAGGCCACTACAAGTGAGCAGAGTGCTAGGATGACTGCTATGGACAATGCCAGCAAGAATGCTTGTAAGTAAATCTATGCTGAAAATAAGGAATAATCATAAATGTCAATGTTTATTTCATGGATTTCTAGTATTACTGATACATTTTTGTGAGCATGGATTGTGGCATTCAGCAGTCTCCTGAAATTTTACTGGGCATGTGTGAAGACCCAACGAGCATCCTTTTCTGTCCACAACATAGGCTCAAAAGTGTGGGAATTGTCCAGCTATTTGGGAATGTAATTGTGAAACAAATGTTACTTCATTAACATTACATTTTTTTTCCTTTAGCTGAAATGATTGACAAATTGACATTGACTTTCAACCGTACCCGCCAAGCTGTCATCACAAAGGAGCTTATTGAAATTATCTCTGGAGCAGCTGCCCTGTAAGTACAAGGAATTAAAGCGGTTGTAAAGGCTTAATTTTTTTTTGTAACACACACATTTATTAATTTCTGCTCTGCGCAATGGAATTGCACACAGCAGCCATGAGTCTGCATGCACACTGGATGTTTTTACAGCTGCTGTTTTTGATGTTTTTTTCTACAGCCAGTAAACTCCCCAGCATGTTATCCTATGAGTCCATGCACACATAGACTGTAATCAACAACATTTTTTTTGTCAAGGACATTTTTGGCTGGAAAAAAACCCAGGACCAGTGGGTTTCTAGAGGAGTTTTTTTGCTGTAAAAACGCTCTAACGCTGAAAAACGCAGTAAATCACGGCAAACCAGTGTTTTTGGACTTTTTTTTTTTTTTGCTAAAAAAAATATATATATATTTCTTTGGAAAAATCAACTCTAAAAAACACCAGTAAACGCTAATGCAAATACTCTGAAAAACGCACGTTTTTAGCGTGACTTTACACAGCTAACGTTACCAGCATTATTGAAACACCCAGTGTGCATGGAGCCTGAACCTTCTCTTCTGAGAACCCCCCCCCCCCCCCCCCCCCCACGCTCCTGGCTCCTCTTCTCAGTTCTCCCCCGATAGAAAGCCTTTTCCTATGGGAGCACATCTGCAGGCTCAAAGTTGACCTGCATTTCTGGTGTCCATAGACACACAGCAGAGTAAAGGAGAGCTGCTACAGATGAGCACAGTGCTGGATTGAGTGAGGACTCGGGCAAGTAAAAGGGAGATGGTGAGGTGATGATATGGTAATGGAACTTTTTTTTTTTTTTTAACCTTAGTGCAGGGAATGCTTTTAGATAAAAAATCTTAAAGCTTTAGAACCATTTTGATGCTTGGCTGAGCCTTCTAATAGATGGCAAGGTAGACGCCTGAGCTTGTGCACCTAAGAATTCTTGATTGCTCTATTGTGTTCCATACACTATCTGGCTCTTCTAAAATAATTTGAAGCACTAAGGAAATATGTTTAAAAAAGATATTTTCTTTTTAAATAGAACCCACCCATATATGCATCTGATGCCTTTGTGCACAGGTGTAGTGTGGTCCTATCTCCACCAGCAGTTTACAGGAGCTGCAGTAACACGTTTCACATGCAGTACTGTAAACCTTCATGCTGTGTCTCTGTCAATCAGATGTGAAGTTTGTTTTTAAGCGGCAGTAAAGGCTGTTGGGGGGGGGGATTTCCTCCTTGGACGTTAACAGCATAATAGCACATTATGAAAGACTTACCTTAAAATGAAGTCCTCACGGCATGCTGTGACAGGGTTTCCATCACCCGTTTATCTTTTTGGGTTTGTGGGCTTCGGTTGCTTGAATGGCTGAATCTCAATGGCGTCACTCCCGCGCTCAGTGCTCTGAACTGACGGCATGCTGTCCCTCCTGAGTGCATGCAGCGGTGACTTCACTGATTGCAGAAGTAGTGAATATCTCCTAAACAGTGCACATTTAGGAGATATTTCTTGTACATACAGGTAAGCTTTTTTATATACCTGTAAGCACAAATGAGCAAGTTATGGTTACTACAGCTTTAAAACTCCATTTTGAAAAGTGAGTAATTTTAGTCCTTTCATCAGGATAGACAACTGTGCACAGGACACAAGCATGTAGGATTTCCAGTTGTACAGATTAGTTTGAATATACATTTACATATATACATTTACATATTGTATAGTACGGTTTTCGTTTTGCATGTGTTTGAGCATATGATTTTTTACTTTAAAATAACCTGTTAAAACAAGCTTGTAGCTTCTATCTTAACAATGCATATCCTTCTTTGCATGCATGTGTGTACTTTAACTTGCTTGTTCTGTTTCTAACACTTTTACCAGGAGTTGAAAATAAGAATCATTGTCACCAGGTAAAATATTTTAGTTTTATTGTATCAAAGAAATATACAATTTACCTTTTTATGTACTTTACCACTTGCTGACTGACGGTGAACAGTTGTTTGTTGTATTTGCAGGGTCTTTGTTTTTTCCTCCATGATATATACTTTAATAAGGCTCTGTTTACTATACTTTTTAAATTGCTAAATTAGGTTGAAATTAGCCTGGAGTGAGGGAATTACAAATTTGGGGACCTTGCCTGGTTGTCTCTGGTTTTAATACTTTGTGTCACTGATCTGGAACAAGTACAGGGGTTGGACAAAACTATATAAACACCATGAAAAGAATGAAATTGTTAACTAATATGGTGTGTTGTACCGACTTTGGCATCCAAGATGCCTTGAATTCTTCTCCTGGGAATTGACAAATATAAGTCTTGGATGGTGGATAATGGAATCTGATACCACTCTTCATGCAAAAACCATTCCAGTTCTCACAGAGATGCCGGAGGCAAAAAAACTAGCCCGGACCTTGTTCTCCAAAATTGGCCATAGTGGAAAAATATTGAGTTGCGGCACCAAGGGAAGATACAAGACTTTGTCTGCATGCTTGTCAAACCACGATTTGACATCACCAGTTGTGTGAATCAGAGTATTATCACCTTAGTAAATGACGCTGTCTTTCGGAGACCATGTCTGCACCATGGGGTGCACATGGTGGGCAAAATTTGTACATTGTCACTGGCAGTGACTCTACCTTTTCAAGAATATGATGGGGCCTACAGAATACCAAGATACCGCCACCATTCTTTACACAAGACAGTCCTAGTCAAGACAGTGTTCGTCACACGTAAACAAGTCCAATGGTTGGGAACAGTGTGAAGCTTGATTCATCACCATTTTTACAGTCTTCCAGTGATCTATAGTCCAAAGTTTATGGATGTTGTACCACTCTCGCCTCTTCTGCGCATTAATAAATCACTAGCAGTTTGGCAATTGCACCTCACCGTGAATGTTTTGCTTATGGAGTTCCCTCAGTACAGTTTGTGGACACGGGCTTTGGAAGACTGAGATTGAGCTCTACAGTCACTTTTACAGCAGTTGTTTTCTTATTCCGGGTCACAATCCTGCATAATGTCCTTTTTGTCTTTCAGTCAGTTGACCATGTCAACTGTGCTTATGCATATCAGATGATATTTATCCGGAAACCGTGTATGCTGCCAAACCCTTTGATACCGTACCTGGTGACACAGCAAATAAATGGACAGCTTCAGTCACAGAGGCACCAGCTAAGTGGGCACCAGCAATTTGTCCTCTTTGAAGCTCCATAAGCTCTGACGTGACTCTGCATTAACAGCAGCGCACGCAGTGAATGATGAAAGTGAAGCTGCCCATCTGTTAGCTATGCGTCTCATCACACAGCGGAAACAAAAGCACATTGCATCACTTCCGCTTCCAACACAAAACATGTTGTCACTTTCATACCTGGAAATCATGTAGCGTTTCTATATTTTTGTCCGACCCTTGCATGTGGCCAGTGAAAGGGAAAGCAAAAACTGTTCATCCACATACTCGTTTTGTGATATAAAATATTGAAGCCTTAGAACTAAAAACTATTAAGCAGGGGTGTGGAAATGTTTGAAAAAACTACTTGTCCAGGGACTAAATTGGTGCCCCAATCTACTTGTCCCTCATGACAATCTGCTTGTCCCGATAAAAATAAAAATAAATTTTAACCAAAATCGTATTGAAATCTGAGGTGCTTTATGGCGACTTAAACGTTTAATAATTTTAGCATTGTGCTGTTTTATCTCTTCCTCCCCTCCCTGCCTCTCTCCAGCACCACACCCAGGGACTAGCAGGGAAGGGAGAGACCTGGCAGTGTAATGAGCACCGATTGGCTGCTTCTCAGGAAGGGGGCATGTGGGACTTATCCTTTATCCCTTTTGCTGCCAGAGCCGTTTTTGCACGTTTTAAAAAAAAAAAAAAAAAAAAAAAATCATTCAAGGCCTGAAGATTACACACAACCCCCAAACATGATATATTTTCTGAGACTCTAGAGAATAAAATAGCGGTAGTTCCAATTTTTATGTCACACGATATCACAAAGGTTTCAGTAAAAATTTCAGTAAAAAATACACTGAAGTTAATTTTATGGCACAAAAAGCAATAAATTATCCAATTTTTTTGTAAAATATAGAAATCGAGGTTGCATCGAGGAAATAGATTTCCAACATGTCAAACCTTAAATTTGTGTGTGCTCGGGAAACTGCAACAAACTTTAGTACTCTATATTTTCTATAGGCAACACTTTTAAAGCCCATTATAAGTCATCTGCTTAGTGTTACGAATGAGGCCTGGTTCTAGAATTATCGCTCTCATTCTGGCGTGCGCGGCGATCTGTAACGTGTATCACAATCATAGTTTTCATTTGTAGGCGCCCCAGCATGTGCTTTTACATTTCGTGTGTACATATGTGGGGGTGGGGGTCTTGAAAAACGTGGGGGGGGGGGGGGAGCGCGGATATATGCTTGGGTGCAACTTACATTTTGTAAAAGTTTAAAAAACCAAACTTTTTACTTTTAACTTTTTTTTTTTTTTTTTTTTATCACATGGGGACAAAATGTGGTGATTTTTGGTGACAGGTTCCCTTTTTTGAGACATATGGGCTTGATGCCTGGGAATCTGTCAACAGGGACCTGGCAGTGACGTCACATCACTTCCGGGTCAGGACAAGGAGGGGAGGGGACATGCCCGCTTTCCTCCCTCCTCTATAACCGCATGCCAACATACTGCCGGCAGCCACTAACTGGTCCCGGGCCCGCAGATGGGGCAAGCGCAGCCCGGGACATATAATGGGCAAGGGGGCGGCGGCTAGCACTGTGGGCTGTGTGGAAGCAATTGGGGGGGCAGCGCTGCCGCCTGAATGCTTCCACCAGACAGATGAGCCCTGCTGCTTGCCCTAAAGGCAAAAAAAAACTACCTGCCTGGTACCCGGAACTAAGTGTCCCTGGCGTCAGGCTATATGAATTGCACATCCCTGTATTAAGCTATAGGAGCTCTTGGCTAGCCTTGATGTTAAATCTGTTTTTAAATGTGAAATAAATTCCCACAATCAACAATATCTTTTGTAGAGGTGTGCTTTTTTTTTTTTTTAT